GCTCCTCCAGCTCCACATTGTGTTATCTCAGACTCCAGCATCGGCAGTTCCTGCTATCTCTGAGATTGAGAAAGTCGGACCTTCATAGTAACCTCAGCCTGTACGGCAATTGAACCCATGTTGGGGGTGTCACTCTGCATTCCCATCCAGCCAACTAACCCCTTTTGAAAGTTTTGCATTTGGATGTTCTCAAACCACTAAGCCTTCAGTTAACAGCCAAATACAATAGCCGATTGTGCCACAAGACTGAATAAGTCAGCGATGGTTAAAATGCACAGAGAAGAAAATGGGAAGCGTTTCAGGTATTGGGATCTACTTGAGTTATAAGATTGTCACTTTAGTATTCTTCTGCTGTCTCGCTGAACCTTTGGGGGACAGGATTCTAACATCACACAATGCGAGCATTTTTCTGATTTGGCAGTTCCTTGCTTCCCCACATGATGGCAGCTCCGAGTAATTATGTTAGTGAGAACTGTCAGAGCTGACTGCTGAGCTCTCCCTGTTCCTCTGTGTGTTTGTCTCAGGGAAAGAGGAGCTAGAGACAGTTTAGGCTTGTCAGGAAACATGTGAGGATGTGACCAGGAAGAGTTTATGAACATATAAAATTATTTTCGGACCTCCAAACTCAGGAACATTTACCTTCACAGCCTTAAATAAAAATCCACTCCACTGCTGATAATTTATTGAGCCCTGTTGTAAATTAAGCCGTCAGGATCGAAAATGTCCATTTGCCTGAAACCTTTTGCTATTTATTTTAGGATTTCAGATTTACTTTAATCATGCCATTAATCTTGCCTATCACTCTACTGTTGTATCTCAGTCATATTTCCTGTCAAAGTTGGAAACTTTTTCCTCATTGTTCATTTCTCCAGCATGAGGAATCATTTTAATAATTGTTCTTTGCACAAACTCTGGGGTTTGAATGCCTCAACTGAGTCTTTGTGACCAGAAATGGTCAATCAATTTTAAAAAAGACAAAGCACATTGATACTTGAAGCATTTCTCATGGTGCAAAGTTAAACATAAGGTTTGTATTTTAATATGCTTCTTGCAGCTGATAAAACTTGGGAATCAGGGAGAGTCATACTTTAATTAATTAGAGTCATACCTAACACAAAGAGGATGGTGGTTGCTTTGTGGAGGCTAATCCTTTCAGCCCCAGGACACTTCTACTGGAGTTCCGTTGGGTTATGTCCTAGCCTTCATTGGTGAGCTTTCCTCCAACATAGCATCTGAAGTGGAGGTGTTTACTTTCATGACTCACTGGGGTAGCAGTGGGAAATCAAACCTCGCTTTTCTGAGAGTTGTCACAAAAGTTAAAGTGTTTATAAAAGTATGCAAGATTCCCCAGTTTCCCTGTCATTTTAAACACAGGTCAACAGATAATGTGAACCTGGTTTCTGTGCTGAACAAGAATGACATTATTATGTGTAAATAGGTTTTAGCTACAGTAAGCAAAATTGAATCATCAACATATAATTCTAATCAATAAAATTCAAAGCCCTTTATAGAACTCTGCCTACACACATACAGAAAGAGACAAAAAGACAATTAGTGTTATGGGTGAAGGGAAAAACTGGGAAAACAATTCAATGGTTCCTGTCCAATGTTTGCTGAGTTGATCATTTTGCCTTGCCTGGACTTACTGTTCATTGACCTCTCTCTTTCTCTCTTTCTTTCAGTGCTTTTCTTTGCTAGCAGGAGATATAAAACAACTGTTTCACAAATTATGAAACCTCGGATTTATGGTTACAAATAACAACTTACAGCAACTGGTAAGGGAAAAATAAATTGGCTTTCTTCAAGCTTTGTGTGTGTTTTTTTTTGCTGCAGAAACAAGGACACCACCTCTCCCACCAGAGGTCCAAAGGCTTTGCACCTATAAGCTTTCCAGCTCGCTAAGAGCCAATCAGGTAAATGTTGCAGGCAGATGGTCTTACTCTTCAACACCTAATCACAGCTCAATAAACCAATCAGCTATTCGTTACTGGCCAAATATCATTTTATACACACACCATGGTGCCAGTTCGTCTGCAACTAACCCACTGGTTGAACAAACACCAATATAAATATTACCTACATTAAGTGCTCATTGCTCACTATTACGAAGTACAGCAACTCCTTACAAGAGATTTTGCTTTAAGACAGTCCTTTCTCCTCATTTTTGTCCACAATCAAATACATAGAAAAATAAACATATATAGTCTTAACAATGCCAACAAATCCTCAAAGACTGAAACAGAAACAGAAATTGCTGGAGAAACTCAGCAGGTCTGGTAGCATCTGTGGAAAGAAAACAGAGTTAAAGTTTGACATTCGGTGACCCTTCATCAGAACAGTTAGTAGCTAGGAAGAGGTTGTGTTTATGCTGAAGCCAAAGTGGGGAGAAGGAGAGAGATGAGCAGATAGGTAGAGACAGAACCGAGAGAAAGAGAGATATTAATGGGTATGTAAGCTTGGAAATTATGGATAGCAGAGCAGGACAAAAGAGAAGCTGAATGAGTGACAATGAAGAGCTAAGAGTGAGAAAATATGCTGGCTGTGCTGAATGCAACCCAATGTAGTGCGATAATGAGTTTTGGAGTTCATGGGAATGGGTGACTGTGCTAAAAGCAATCCAAGTCATAACAGGACCAGGTGTGGGGTGGTTAAAAAGCATGGAAGGATGGAATCAGACTCTAAAGTTATTGAACTGGATGTTGAGTCCCAGAGGCTGTAGTGTCCCCAAGTGGAAAATGGGATGTTGTTCTTTGAGCTAGTGCTAAGGCTCACTAGAGCAGTGTAACAGGCCTGTGAAAGAAATGTTGGGAGTGGGAACATAGTGATGTGCTGAAGTAGCAGGCAACTGGAAGCTCAGCGTCATTTTCGTGGACAGAATATAGGTATTCTGCATAGTGGCCACCCAGCTTCTGTTTCGTCTCCCCAGTGTAGAGCAGGCTATATTGTGAACAGCGAATATAGTAGACTAGACTGAGTGAACTGCAAGTAAATTGCTGCTTCACCTGGCGCCTTGGATGGTGAGGAGTGAAGAGGTACACGGGCAGGTATTACACCTTTGGCGATTGCATGGGAAAGTGCCTCAAGAGTGCAACTACAAGAACAATCAAGATGCTCATTAACAAAGCAGTCTGCTTAATCGGCAACCCATCCACTAATTTAGAACACCAACACCGTTGCACTGTGTCAGCAGTTTGTACCATCTGTAAGGTGACCTGCAGCAAATCACCAAACCCTCTCTGACCTTCTGAATTGGCGACCTTTACCACCTACGAGACCAATGGCAGCACATACATGGGAACATCACCACCTACTAGTGCCCCTCCAAGCGACACAGCATCCTGACTTGGAAATATATCACTTAACAGCTCTGTGGGTGTACCTACTCTCAAGGACTGCAGAAGTTCAAGAGGCAGCTCGCTACCAGCTTCTCAAAGGTTAATCAGCATCAGAAATAAACTATGGTTTTGTATCAGATTTTGGAGAGAGTGAAAATTTAAATTGAAAAATAGGGTGCTGATAAAGAGGACAGCTTTGTTCTGTGGATGATGCTGAGCTTGTTGAGTGTTTGTTTGAACCGTACTCATGTAGACAAGTGGGGAGTAATTTATCCCACTCTTGACCTGTACCTTGTAAATGATGGGCAGGCTTTCAGGAGTCAGGAGGTGTGTTACTTGCTGCAGAATTCTGAAATTCTGACCTTCTCATGTAGCCACAATATTTATATGGCTGGTTCAATTCAATTTCCATCCAATGGTAACCCCAGGATGTTGATGATGAGTGATTGAGATATGTTTAATGTTATTTTACAAGAAGTGGCAATGGTTAGATTCTCTCTTGGTGAAGCTGGTCATTGTTTGGCACTCATGTGGCAAAAAATATATTTGCCGCCTATCAGCACAAACTTGGGTGTTGTCCTGGTCTTGCTTCATGTGGGCAGACTGCTTCAGCACCTTAGAATTTATGTTTCCATTAAAGATTGTATAATTATCAGTGAATGTCCCCATTTCCATCCATGTGATAGAGGGAACGCCATTGACGAATCAGTTGAAGGTATTTGGGCCTGTGATACTGTGCTGAGGACCTCCTGTAGCAATGTTCTGGGCCTAAGATAATTGACCTCCAACAATCACAATCAGATTCTTTCTTTGTAATTATGATACCAGCAAATGGAGATTCCCATTGACTTCAGTTTCTGTCAGATACTTGAATGCTATGTGCACTCAGATTGTTTCAAGTGCAGTCACTGAACTCTCAGTAGTGGTGTAAATTAGAAGGACTCATGTCACCAACACCAATCCCAGGAAAATTCCACTTAGCATCGTTAGTCCTTATAATCACTGCTTGAACACTCTGGCCCAACAAGCAATATGCAATCCCAACCTCAATTCCACAAATCCATCCCTCCACTTAAAGTTTAAAGTGCATTGGAATTGAAAATTTTGACAAAGACTTTGTAAATTCAGGAACAATTCTCAGAGCATTGTTACAGTGTACTTGGATTGTCACCTTAATCAATTAAGAAATTGGTTCAAGAAAGTCCCTTCCATTTGAAACCCATCCTATATATTATTTCCATGCTGGTTTGAGCACTGTATTACTCTGAACTTCCATACAAAAGCAACATTCAGAAATATTCCCTTTACAATTTTAATGTAATCCAAAAAATACAAGACAACACACACCAAAGGACAGAACATTTACAAATTATAAAATCTCCCAGTTAGAATGAATGTACAGTCAGGAATCCCAGGTCCCCTCACCCTTATGTATAAAAGTAAGTAAAATTAATAACATCTTTTTTTCATCGGAATGTGGGCTTCTTGTGATTACACCAAGCTCAGTTTTTCAGAAGTTCCATTGATGGTTTGTGTTGCGCTCTTGAACTATCATGGTGTTCCTGGATTGAAAAGAGTCAATACAATGGTTCTTTTCAGCTGGTTCAAGTTCAATGTGTTGTTGTTGATGATCATGATCGAGAGACAGTTCTCTGGCACAAAGTCCTAGATGATACTCACATGCAAAGACACATCAAGGAATGTTTCTTTTGATTTGTTTTGCACCTGTGTGTGAACATTTAGATTTATCTTTAAATCAAAGATTGAACTGATTGCTAAACAATTGTTGAGAAAATTGAATATTGCTGAAAAAAGACATACTTTGTTAAAGATTGCACGCATCAGGACAATTTCCAAGAATACCAATTCAAAGGCAATAATCATACAGCATGAAAATTGAGGGCTGATTGGTTGGCAAGTAGAAATTGATTACTATAGCATTGCCATGGAGAATGTACTCATTAATTCTGATTGACAGTTAACTACCGAGCTTTATTTAAATTTTAAACCGAGCAGTTTGATTCTAATTGGCCATGATTCCCCTGAGAAATGTAGCAGCGAATGGCTGTCACCTATTTTGTTGAGTTGAAACAGGTGTGGTGTGTGTGCATGATCTGCCTGTCTTCAAAGAACAACATCATGTTCATTAAAATATGTAGTTTCCAGAGCATGCAAATGTGCCACATTGTGGGCCTGTCAGACAATCCTAAATTGGTTGTCAACATAATTCTTTGTACACTTAGAGTTATCTAGCATTTGCTGGATCATATCAAATGTTAGACAGGATGTTGTGAGTGTTGGAAGCGCATTCTGGTTGTGTACAGTCAGTGCCTCGTTTGTTGTGAACAGCTGAAGGGACATGCTGTTTGATATGATCTACTAGTCTTTGGGACATACAGTTGCATACCTGGTATCACATCAACACTGAAACTCATACACCACATTGTGTGATATGCAGAATTTTGTTTTCGCTTTGCAGCAGCATCCTGTTAGCAGTGAACTACACTTGTCTTGCTACCACACAGTAGCAGTGTAAAACAGCTAGCTTCACCTGTTGTTCAAACTTTTGAGATACCTTACCCTTCCAAGGGAGCCTGAGGTCGACAGGACACTTATCAGGGTGAAGAGTCACCCCATCTGAGGTCCTTCCATGTGTTACTCGTTATACAGTGAAAAATGAGCTGAGCAGGGTCACCATTATATTGCAGGATGCCTTTGATGTGTCCTATGTCAGCATTAAATTTGCACATGGTTCAGGCCCTATTTACAAAGTTGCTATGCCTCCATGCAGAGTCCATTGCCAACTAATTAGCACTCTCTTCTCATTCAGTATAAATATGGGTTTTCCCCTTAAATTTATATTCTTGCAAATTGTCCAGAAGAGTGCAAAATGAAGAGCTTTAATAAAACGTTACATTTTCAGCAAGTATTCCACTGCTAAACTAGCTCATATATAAGGAAGTGTTAATACTTGAAAACTGTAGGCTTTAGACAATTGATTAAAACACAGACCTGCCTTAGACTCTACTGTCATGCAGCGAACTTCAAGTCTCAACAATTTATTGTAGCTGACAATTGTTTGACACAAAACGTAAATTATACTCACATTGGGAGACTTCTCCAATGATTCTGTTGAATTGCTTTTCAACTGGAATATTAAGGTTCACATCTTTCATATTTGTGAAATATTCTTTATTGTTAGAATCATCTCTAAACAGAAGCTTTAAATGATATTGAATTGTAAATGAAGAAGTGATAATACTTTGAGATTTGGACTCAGAACTAGAGTGGAGAAATTCTCACCAAACATCTCCTGCTCATCAATGCAGCAACCATCAATCCAGCCCTGGGCCACTAGCAGTGATTTTTATGGATAAACTAACTCATAGAATCCTTACAGTGTGGAAGGATGGCATTCGGCCCATCACGTTCACTCCCACCCTCTGAAGAGCATCCCACCCAGTCCCATCCCCCTACCCTTTCCCTGTAATCCCTGCATTTCCCATGGCTAGCCACCTAGCCTGCACGTCTCAGGATAATTTAGCATGGCCAAAACCTAAACCTGCACATCTTTGGACAGTGGGAGGAAACCAGAACACCTGGAGGGAACTCACACAGACGCGGGAGAACATGCAAAGTCCACACAGACAGTCACCTGAGGGTGGAATCCAACTCAGGTCCCTGGTGCTGTGAGGCAGCAGTGCTAACCACTGAGCCACCGTGCTGCCCCAGGAGACTGGGAATATCTATTGATTGGGACTTATTGTGATGAATCTGCAATTTCCCTCAAGGAAGAACCAGTGATCAATGTCGATTATTGGTGTGAGTGTAAGAGACACTGCTCTCCTGATGCTGTTATGTTTATGGTTGTCATGATATGGAGGTGCCGGTGTTGGACTGGGGTGGACAAAGTCAGAAGTCACATGACACCAGGTTATAGTCCAACAGGTTTATTTGATAATATAAGCTTTCGGAGCGTTGCTCCTTCATCTGACAAAGGTGCAGCACTCTGAAAGCTTGTGATTTCAAATAAACCTGCTGGATAACCTGGTATCGTGTGACTTCTGACTCTGTTATGTCTGGGTTGAGTTACTGTATACCTTACTTATCTTAGAGCAGTACAGAGTTAATTCTAAATTTAAGCAGTTTAATTACGTGATTTAAAACATTTCAGAACCTTCAATATAGACTTAGTCATAGATAGAAGCAGCGCCTATGTAGAATGATCCTTCTTGAGAGTCATGATTGACTCACTTGCAGGTTAAAGCAGTGAAGTACAGTTTAAAGATTTGTGATCACACCAACTTAAACAAACGTTACAAATACTCTACCATTTGCATCTAACCAGTCCTATGGATACTCAGATGAATTTGTCTTCATTCTTTCAATTTGTTTTTAAGCAACAGACATTCCATCACCAGAATTTTAGACAGAGTAAATTACCATCCCTGAGTACGTTCTGACCCTGTTAAATCCTGGATTTTATACTTCTTAGCTGACAATTCTGATTAACAAGAAAATAATTAAACAACATTCCCAGATAATACTCGCATTTGGTGGCTTCACGAAAGAGGTCTCTTTTGATTTGTCATTTACCTGCAGTAAACTGTAAATATTTCTATGTTTAGAACAAAGGATCAATGAGACATTTGTAAATAATCTGAAATGTTATAAGTTCCATTGTCCTGTTGTATATAATTGGGAGGTTACCTCAATGCTGTTTTCATTCAATTCTGATGAATCACTGTTGCTGTCCACTGTCTTCAGCCCTCGACACTGTACATCAATGTCAACAACCTCATCGGCAAAATATTCAACATGGCTTTTACACAAACCTTTCTCCTGTCAAAAGAGGATTTTTTTTAGGAGATAGTACAAACTGCTGATGCTGGAGTCAGAGATAACACAGTGTGGAGCTGGAGAAACACAGCAGGCCAGGCAGAATCAGAGGAGCAGGAAAGTTGACATTGCTGGCCGGGACCCTTCTTCAGAAATGGATTTTTTTTAACATTTGATTGCCAGCCTATTCAATATGGCACTTACTGTGATTAACTCAAAATACACATCCCTTTTTGTGATATAACCCAGTACGCATGGCCCTTTCAATTGCATAACTCCATACACAATACCCTATTTATGATTGAACTCAGAAAATGTAGCCTTTTATATGGTATAACTCAGGACACACCTGCCTTTTGATGATAAAATGCAGTATATGTAAAACTATGAACATACAAGCTAGAAACAAGAGTAGGCCATTCGGCATCTTAAGACTGTTCCATCATCCGATAAGATTGCTGTTCTTAATGTAACTTCAACTCTGCAATTCCATGTCTCCCTGATAACCTTTCACCCCTTCCTTAACCAGAATCTATCTACCTCTACATTAAGAATATACAAGGACGCTGCATTTCTTTCTTTTTAGACACTAAGTCTTACAACCCTCAGAGAGAAAAAAGCCCTCTTTCTATTAAATTTCCTAAATACTTGCTGTACCTGCATACCAACCTCTTGTGATTCATGCATGAGGGCTCTAGGGATCCCTTTATATCTCAGAGCTTTATAATCTCTCACCATCCAGATAGTATGCTTCTTTTTATTCTTCTTGCAATTTCACATTGTCCTACATGATAGTCCATTTGCCACATCTTTCCCCAATCACTTAAACTATCTATATCTTTTTATAGTCTCCATCTGTATTCTTCACAACCTACTTTTCGATATATCTTTCTGTCATCAGCAACGTTTGCAGCCATACCTTCATCTATGCCATTTATATAAGTTGTAAGCAGTTGAAGTTCCAGCACTGATCCCTGTGACACACTTCTTGTTGCATCAGCTCATAATCTCTGAACCAAAGCTGCTCGAACTTTAAACATTTGCCACACACGTGTTTGCTCTGGGCCAATGTGGCATCCAGGGACTTCCATATGCTGTAACTGTGACACATCAACTATCCTGCTATGCTTCCTATGGTATAACTTAATATACATAGTCCTGTATATTTGAACTGTATGCAAGGTCCTTTCTATAGAAGTGTCGATGCTGAAAATCTGAAACAAAAGCAGAACTTGCTCAAGGCTGCAAGGTCCCTTACTGGATAATGAGAAAATGTTTGTCCAGCCTGTGCATGATGTTCCTTTGCCAACATTTCTGCCTTGATGCCACTGCATTGCTCCAGTGAAACTCTGTACAAATTGAAAGAGCAGCGTCTAATTTTTTGCTTGGGGACCCTGTAGCCTTCAGGATTCAATATTGAGTTCAATAACATTAGTATCTGAACACCTTCTTCCATGTTTATTACTCACCCCCACATCCCAGTTCTTGTCACAACATGGCTTGCTTTCAGCACAGCCGACTCATTTTGTCAATCACGGACCGTATTAACACATACATTGATTTTCTTCTTCCTGGTTTACTATCACCATTTCCTTTCTTCCTCTATCACTCTCTGGGCTCCATCTGCAACTATCAGCTCACTCCTTTCTCACATTCCTCCCACCCGTTATCGTCAAGATAAATACAACTTTTGCCCAGAAGCTATCAGTTCTGAAAAGGGTCACTGGACTTGAAATGTTAATTCTGCTTTCTCTCTACAGATGTTGCTAGACCTGCTGAATTTCTCCAGCAATTTCTGGTTTTGTCACACATAGCCCTTTGTATGATATAATTCAGAGCACACAGTTCTTTACATGATATTACTGAGGACTCATGACAATTTCAATGTGATAATATAATTCAGGACTCATTGCAGTCTTTTTGGGATGAAAGTGGCAACTAGGATCGTTAAATTCCAGTACAAAATTCTTGGGGCAGACAGTTTCTTTCACAGAGAATGTTAAATCCACATTGTATGACAGTTTTCCTGACTGATGAATCTAATGAGAGGGAAACACCTGATTATATCTGAGACTTTTACTCTGGGCTGATTCACCCATCAGTGTGAGTGTAATATTGCATTCTACACCTGCCTAATAATATGTATTGAACTGGGCTCAGTAATATTCCTCCAGTCATTAGAGAGTGAAACAGACTGAGACCAGGGCACACTTACTTCCTTCACTCTTCTCCTGTTTACCCCATACAGATTGCTGGTCTTGGTGATTTGGTTCAGTTTTATGACTGATGCTCTCAGAGCGTCCTTTGGGCTCGGTATTCCTGTCGAGAGAAAAGGAAAGTTGTACGAAACATTCCGGAATTCTTCATTGAGTTATTTTTACACATTGGTGATATCTCAGTGAGTGAGCCTCATTGCCAATAACTTGTTGCTTGATGAGGTGCCGCTCTCTCTGGTACCTACCTGAGCAGTAGAGAATCTGCACTGCAGCAATGGTGAGGAGGAAGGCTTTCATTCTGCCTCTTGTGTGATCAGCTGGCTGCTTTCTCAGAGTAAAGGAGCTGCTTCTCTCTCTTGCTGTGTCCTTTCCTTGCTGCGTTCGGTCTTTATACCCCTCCTCTCCTTCACATTCAATTATATATTTTTATATATTACACTTATATTTACTCAGTTTGGTGGTCCTGGCCAGGGAAAGTTGCTGCCAAGTGACTCCAATATGGGCAAAGATTCCTCCCAGGATCGTCATCGTGTTTAGATTTGGTGAGATCAGAGATTATTCTTCAGAATATGAAATGACAAATGGACAAAGGAGAGGCAATTATCATGTATAATTGGCACAGTGTGTATATCAATTCTCTGGTGTTTACACAGCTAAATTTAGAGTAAACCTTCAGTAAATGGTGCATCACATAATCTTGGATCAAACCTTATTGCAAAAGTAGTGCACAAATTTGCCTGAATAGTCCGTGGAGTGGTCATCACTGTTGACCCTCCACTCCAAGACTCATTCTTTGCACTACAATTGAGCTGTGCATTTCCAATCCAGGCATATGCACTTGGCTTCTACAGGAATATGGTGTGTACCTGCTATCCAACTGTTTTTCATAGTACAGGATCCGTGGGCACTGATAAGCTAAATTATCTATTTATGACACTAGCTTCTGTATTCTGGTAAGTAAGGGTTTAAATGCCTCAAATATCATGTTAACTGTGTTATCTTTGGCTCTATTTCACTCTTAAAATATTCAAAATATTATCCATGATTATTTGTTGTCCTGTGGCTGGAACTTCTTTCTGTTAACAGCCTCTCAACTACCAACATTGTGATTCTCCCTTTTACTCAGTCTCATGTTCACCATTCATGCAAACACTGCATCAATCCTCCTCCACTCCCAACAATGCAACTCTTTTAACATCGATGGGACAGCAGCCAGAGATTCCAGAAGGTGAGTTGGGAGTAGGGAGTGCAGGATGTGGAGAGCACTCTGTATAGTGCAGGTACGGAGGATGAAAGGTCGTGGAGTTGCTTGCAGTCTGTGATGTGATGGAGCGAATGGTGGTGAGCACAGTTCGGCAGGTTGGGAATTGGTGGGTGGAGGGAGGAAGGGGCAGGGGTTGTGGCTAATGCTGTGTATGGAGCGGGTGTATGTTGGGGGAGAGAGCTGTCTGGGAGGGGTGGGGTAGTGGTGAACATTTTCCAGGAGAGTGCTGGGTACTTATAGCTCATGTCTGCATGGTCCTGGCCATCTGATACCACTATCATTGAATAAAACTGGAAATAAGAAGTTGCATGTTCCTGTATAAATATTGTGGATGCGCTAATTCAGTGCAACCTCAGAGTCCTGAGGCATATCTGCCACAGAATTGCCTCTCCCCATTAAGTAAGGCCATTATCTTAAAGGTTCAGTTGCTGAGAAGATGCAACATGAATTGTAAATCTTGAGAACTTGTTCAATTGATTCCTCTTTCTCATCATTTTTTTAAAGAACTTGTTGTATTTACATGCTACTTGCCTTTGAAGTCATTGCAGGGTGTTTGGGTTCATTATTCGCAATTTCTCTTTAACAATATCATTATTGTAATTGTAAGTTCAATCAACCAATGCGTCTTGGGAGGGAAAAAAATTGAAATGTTGTGTGTTTTTCCTGCAGATAGACAATTCTTTTAGGATTTTACAGAATGTCAAGTTTGAAATATTAATTTCAGTCATGATAGTTCCCCATCACTTTCCCTCATAAACTAATCTTTTCTTCCTTTCTCTTTGAGTTGAATTTGCTTCTTTTCTTGGTCTGTGAAGGAGAAAACAGAGTTAACATTTTGGGCCCGGTGACCCTTCCTCAGGACTGTTCTGAGGAAGGGCCACCGGACCCGAAACGTTAACTCTGTTTTTGCCTTCACAGATGCTGCCAGACCCGCTGAGCTTTTTCAGCAACTTTGTTTTTGTTCCTGCTTTACAGCATCCGCAGTTCTTTTGGTTTTCACTTCTTTTCTTTCCTTCCTTAGATCTCATTTGTGAAGGACTGTTGATCCCAGCACAAGTTATGTTCCCTGAAAGCGCATCATCTGCATCCATGCTGCTATCAGGGCACATGCTCAGTAACGTTATGCAGCTCATTATCTTCAAGTTGAAGGTGCAGTATAAACTTAAAGTAATGGCACAGACCACGGGATGCCTCTCTCGTGCATGATTTTGACATGTATGGTACAGGAATTCCAGGAAATCGTGTCAGGTATACCTGCGTCATTCTGCAAACCGTTGTCACAACTCATCTGTTAGTGTATTGGAAATAAAGCCCCACTATTTCTGGAGTTGCTGCAAAAGTTAAATATTTTAAAATAAGTATACAAAATTCTCCAATTTACCTAATTTTCAGACTCAGTTTCATTTAAAGAATGGAGCAAGTTTCCGTACTTAACAAGAACAACTTTTATTAGAAGTAATAACACTCTAATTACTGGTAGACAGTTACAAGCCATCAACATAAAACTCTGTACATTAAAACTCTAATCCTCTTGTAAACCTCCCCTTACACACATACACATACATGATGTGGACGTGCTGGTGTTGGACTGAAGTGGACAAAATCAGAAGTCACACAACACCAGGTAATAATCCAACAGGTTTATTTGAAATCACAAACTTTCAGAGTGCTATTCCTTCATCAGCATTCCAAAAGCTCGTGATTTCAAATAAACCTGTTGGACTATAACCTTGTATTGTGTGGACCTCTGACTGCACACACATACAGGCAGGGAAAAATTGGGTATGGGCAAAGGAATGCTAGAAGACAGTTCATTCATTCCTATTCAAGGGTTGATGAAATGATCCTTATGATTCCCTTGTTGGTCAGAACATTGCTTCTCAGTCACATTTCTCTGGACACTTCCACTGGTTTGCAAGTGACACAAGGTGGCCAGTTTGCTTACAAAGTTCTTTGACTTAGTTGAAATCTCAATTTATCACAACTGCTGAAGAAAAGATGAACTGGACTTGTTCAGGTGTAAAATGGGGTCTGACTGCAGAAAACAGAGAGACTGCTATATTGTTCCCAACTTCATGCTATTGAGTTACCTGAGAACCGATCACACACTTGTTGGCAGACAAAAGGCTTGTATCATTGATAACTGATCACTAGTCCATAGACCAACCAACTTCTTGTTGCCACCCAGTTGCATCTGTACAGAGAACACCTTGGTTCCAATTCATCTGCAATTACTTCTGTCACTGCTGGTTTAAATAACTGTTCACACAATGCTTGCTGTGTCCGGTTACTTGCTTTTCAAATCATGTAGCAACCCTTTAAAACGCTGGTGCCAAAACATTTCTTTCTCATTTCAGCCACAATTTTTATAAAACACACGATAAATGGTCTTTACACTGTGTTGCACAATACAATTATTTTTGTGTCTACATCAACTCCACTCAATCTGATCATGTCAGGCTTGGGTGGTGACAAGGCAGAATACTTTAGGATTGCATGGAATAAAGAACTACGTCCATAGTTCACCTCATAGTCTTGGTGATGAGGTTTGTTTTACTAATGTAAATTATACTTGATTCTTATCAAGTAAAATTTTGTTTGAGTCAACAGCCTCTTTTGTTATAGCTCAGTTGGCACTAAACCACCTCAAACACCAGCTTCCAATATTTGGGATCCTAAAACCAAGTCAAACACATTATACATTAATTGCTTAATGGTTTGTGCTGCTTCACAGCGAGAAGTGAACAGTTAATTTTCTTATCAATCGGCAAATCAAGTGGGCCTCCTCCATACACCCACATGCTGAACAACAACCTAAAATAATCTTCTGAAGAAGGGACCTGACCCGAAACGTCAGCTTTCCTGCTCCTCTGATGCTGCCTGGCCTGCTGTGTTCCTCCAGCTCCTCACGTTGTTATCTCTGACTCCAGCATCTGCAGTTCTTGTTATCTCTCTAAAATAATCTTCACTAGCTACATTCAGATGTAGATAATTTTCCAATCTCTGTCTTCATCAAAATCATTGGCGCAAGTTTTTTTTCTGATTTAATGCCAGTCTCTACACGCGTCACCTCATGCCAGTGCACTCAATGCTAAACCACTGATGTTTGCTGCGATTCTTGATTCGTAATATCCAAGAGGCAGTTGTTTGTAAATGTCAGGTTACTTGAGCATATCAGTGCTGCTAGTTAAGTAGTGTTTGGCCACTGATTTGTGCAGTGTTATTGTCAGGATGATGGTTAGAATGCACACTTGCTGACTCTGAGCCGGTTTCCAAAGAGAAACCATTGAGCAAAATCACAGCAAATACCAGAATGTCTCTGTAGCTGTAACTTATTCCTGACAACAGAAACCATTTAACTCTACATGTGTAGGCATTACATCCAGAGATTTATTTTGGGCTGAGGGGTTATTGACACTTGCGGAAAAGTTAGTGGTCAGGCATTCCTGCCTTCCCGGCTACATGAGGCTCCGAGGAGGCCCAAGGTTTACTGTGGGAGGAGAACAGGGAGGATGAGGGGCAGGGAAAATATCGAGAAAAGGCAAGCATTCAGCAGTTTAACAAGGAGAGAAAGTCCTGATGATGAACAGCTGCCAAAAACAGGAATTATTTTCAATTAACAACTACAAACATCCAACCAGAACCAAACAAGACTATAATCAAGCCTTGAAATGAGTAATATTGTAGCTGTAGGAAATTTGAACAAACCCTTCCCTATTTCAGAATTTTAAATCAATCTCATATGTGAAGGCTACTTGTCAGCACGTTCCTGCTGTGTGTTTAATTTGGAGTTCAATATTTACATGCCACTTCTTCTCACAACGCCTGTTGTGTAGGAATGTGTGTAGGAATATAGATAGAAGCTTTGAGGAGCTCAAGGCATACGAGATCTGAACACACGATTGATGCAAACATTTATTGCCTGTAAATGGTGTGAGTGTATGTTCTCACTTAAGATGGCCATTGAGTACCATCTGGCCGTGCGCTGTGTAGTGATGTTGGTCTCCAGTAACAAAAATCTTGGATGTAGCAA